TATATATATATATATATATATAATTTTTATTGTATTGACATTTCAACCATGCCTGGCTAACAATACAGAATTTACAATGATGCGGCACACGTGCTTTCATGTTACCATGTCCAAAAATATAAAAATGACTATTAATTATTACAATGTGACCTGTCTTGCCTAGTATTTTGTAAAATACATTTACATTTCAATTATTATACATGATATATGTATATAGATTATTGCTATTTAGAAATAAGTTCTTAAACTTATTTTTCTTAAAACATAGAACAGTATATAAAGAAGTAAAGCAAACAATTATCTATTCTAGTTTTGATCTTTGTACTCAGTTCCTTTAAAATTCTGCACATGGAGGATATGAAACAAAATAATTTTTAGGTTTTATATATACAGTTGAATAACTAAAAAATCATAAATTACTATATCAATATCATAGAATTCCATTGTAATTTATCAAGCTTAGTACTTAAGCTGTATTTCAGTCTAAAAAAAAATATTAAATTTTATGTAGACTAAAGACACAACCTACCTCATTGAAATATTGATTCGAAATAAAAGGGATGCCACCCTAAAAATTTCAAATGGCTAGGAACCCTACTAGGGGGTACATTATGAACTTTTGATAGGTTATTCACGTCATAAATAGATGTAAGTGTATATAAGGGAGCATTTCCAAAGATGGAAAGAGGTGGTAAAGGTGACACTGTGTTTGATTTATTATATGAACAATATCTTAGCAAATAGAATAGATAAGAGGTTCCTATTTTATATTCTAGCTTGTCATATGAATTAGGAACTCAAATTCATAAAGAACTATAGACTTAGTGTTTTGACATCACAAACATCTAACTTGAATCAGTGCTGCATTCAATACCACATGACACACAAAAAAATCAATGTTTAACTTAGTTTTTAATATTTACTTTTAAATTAAGAAATTGAGTAACATATAATACTAAACTTTGAATTATAATCTACAGTTTGATACTAAACTTATTGACATAAATTCATGAAATAGTAGTTCAATAAAATTTTTATTGTGAGTCAACAAATGCAACGACATGGCCTTTCACTCATGACCCATATGGAAAGTGTTAAAGTAAGCATACACAGAAAGAGAAAAACTTATGTAATTCTGTTACCAGGATTTCTACAAGATCAGGTAACACCCACTAACAGTGAGTGATCTAACAGGTTACTGAATAGACCTAATTACATAATTCTAAATAGGTTTTAATTCTAATTAAATTCTAACCAATAGTCAGCCCAAAGTATGAAATTTACAGCTTTAGGATTTGTGAACTCAAATAATAAGAAAAAAAGGAGTAACTAGAATTGGAGGTAAAGGGAAGAGTTTGCAATGGAAGCCTTTTTTCTTTCTTTCTAATATTAAAAATCAACTCCAATAGAAGTTCTATTTTTTAAAGAAAATGAACCAATGACAATAAAAATTAACTTTAGGCCTGTTCTGTACAGAAGGTATGCGGATGATACTTTTATTCTTTTTAATAACAGTGATCAATGCTCAAAATTTTTAGAATACCTTAACTCACAACATCCTGCCATTAAATTTACATGTGACGTTGAAAATAATAATAATTTACCTTTTTTAAGACATGCTCATTAACGGTAATGCTAATGGATTTTCCACATCAATTTACTGAAAAAAAACGTCCACTGGTCTCCTTACACACTTTAATAGCTTTATCCCGTTTACGTATAGACGAAACCTTGTTACATGCTTACTAAACAGAGCTTACAACCTGTGCTCCACATATCTTATTCTACACTCTGAAATTTCTTTTTTACATGACATCCTGAAACGTAACTGCTATCCACAACACTTATTAGAAAACATTACCAACACCTTCCTAACAAAGAAACTCACAAATGCAATTAAGATACCAACTGTACCTAAATTTACTATATACTCGTGTCTTCCTTATACTGGCAAACAAAGCTTAAATTTAAAAAATCAACTTAAACGCAAACTTGGTCGTTACTACCCTCAAGTGGATTTAAGATTAGTTTTTAAATCTACATCACGCATAAAAAATTTCTTCCCTACTAAAGATCTCCTCTCCATTCCTTATTGTTCTTGGCTTGTCTATCTTTACACGTGTGGAGACTGTAAGGCCTCTTATATTGGCAAAACCAAATGCCATTTAAAAGTCAGAGCCTATGAACATATGGGAATTTCCATTAAAATGCAAAAAAAAATTGAATAACCCCTGTGTTTCCTCTATACGCCAATGCAGTGAAGAAACAGGACATCAACCTATACTATCAAATTTCTCTATCCTCTGCAAGTTTAACACAGACCTGGAATTATTGATCAAAAAAACCCTCCACATCAAGCAGCACTCTCCAACTCTGAACAACATGCAGTCTTCATTTAAATTATACATTTTTTAATATGTTCGTATTACTGATTTTTCGTTTTTTTTTCTTTTCGTTGTGTTTTCTTGCTGTAGTTTCTCCCCATGATTACTGTTTAGTGTTTTATTTGTTTAATTATCATTATATTTAGCAACTGTACTTTGAAAATGTATAAAGACTGATGTAAATTCCTATCAGATTCCATCTTCAGTATCTAAAGCAGAATAAAATAATTCCGGAACGTTTATCCATGTCCCCTTTTTGTCAATAAACAATGTTGTTTATCATAAGTGTCGTAATCTTGTTTATAATTAAGCTACGTATGTTCAGAACAGTGGCTTAGTTAACATTTCCAGTAAAACTATGGCTTTTCCCCTCAAACTGGTTAAAAATGTCTGTCAGATCTACGTAGTTTTGAATATGCTGTTTGAGAGATTTATAATATGTAGCCGGAATTCTTTTACAGTAGATGTCTGTAACTTGGCGATAAATTTGAACAATAAGCAAACAGCACACAATTTTGATATATTCAAAACAAGTCAAATGTATGTACAAAAATTCTTTACACTATAGGATATCATAGTTGTATCTAAAACTCTAAATAATTCTCTTTTATTGTCAAAAGTTCACACAGACTGATTTCATTACTTTAGAATCCAAATGACAGGACAAATTATTTTTCTCTACGCTGTGTCTTATTATACCATCTGTAATGAATTCACTCATGGGTTACCACATTTGTATCCAGAACTTTAAATAATTGTCTCCTTTTCATTAGAATCCACATAGATGAGTTCAATTACTTTAAAACACTATTTGACAAGACGAATTATTCTCCATTATCTCTGTTATTGCAATACCATTGTGAAACTTTAAATATTGACCATTACAGCTAAAATAACAATCACCCAGTCTAACTTCACTTTACTAACTTAACATTGTATGACATAACTTGCAGTCACTTGGTAGCCTATATATATCAATTGCCCAACTGAGGCCTAGAACTTTCTACAAACTGAGAGATGCTATGATCTTACAATACTCACTTAAGGCAACGAGAAAAAATATAAAAGTAATGTGATGTAAATTTACAACAATTGAACTACACACACAGTATGACTTTTACCGAGTTATGTAATGAAATTTGACCTAACTATCGCCTTTAAAATAATAATTATTAAGTGATAAATCACTAAATGAAATAAACAGTTCTTACACTAAACAGGCTTGCATATCCAACACACTTTCTTTTGGTTATAAACATGTATTTAAGAGACGTAGGTGTGAATAGACAACAGGTTTCAAAAGGGTGGAGTAGTGGGTGGAACCACCCTTGTAGGTGTGCGAAATATATTAATATTTCAGCAAATCAAAAATGTGGAAGGTTTTTATTTTATGTTCTAGCTTGATAGTATACGAAATTTGATTTTCTTATTACTTAACCACTGTAGACATTCGGGGCCAAAATTTTGGCACGAATCGATTTGTGCAAAATATCAGTTACGTGTAATTCGACGGTTTTTCACAAAGTTTGTGGTTGATCCATAGAAGAAATGTTTACATCTAGATGCGCAATGTAGTAGGTATTCAGCAGCCGAAATTTCACGAAAAATCACTATGCAAAACCGAGTTTGAGCATCAAACTAATAAATAGCCTTGCTACGGAAGCAAGAATATACAGAAGCGAATACCGCTAACAGTATACGTAATCTTCCGATGTTTAAACATAATATTTTATATATATACATTAACAAACTCAAATTATTCAAAACCGATAACCGCCGACAATATACGTAAACATACGATGCTTAGACATGCTATTTCATCTATACAATAACAAACTCAAAATATTCAAAACTGAACACTCGTTATTTGACCTGTTACTTAGGGAAAGTTATCACTTATGTCGAATCATGCAGTTGATCATCATGGGTGACTTGAAAAAAATACTGGAAAAACGACCTAAAAGAAAGCTTTGAACAATTGAGAATCCAATCTTAAAGATATGTTTGATATTGTTCTTGATGACACAGGATAAAAGGTTGTAAAAGCAGATGTTAAATATGTAAGAAGCATTGCGACAATATAAAAGCACGGTTTTTTCAAAAAGTACTAAATAATTATAAATTACTCTCTTTTTTTTTCCTTTCTAGAATGACTGCAAATTGTAATTGTTAATTCTAAATACCTAAAAGCTTGTAACAGTGTACTTCAATTTTATTGTTTTATTGCCCTTTGACCCTTGTTTAACTAATAATCCCACCACTCATGTTGTTAATCACTTGGAGAATACATTTCTCAAGCTACCATATTGAATTACATAATGCATGAGCTGCTCATAAATATACCTCATCAAGAATTTTTATTATGTTACCTAATCTAACAGGTTTCTACTTTTTACATTTTAGTTACTTTTATAATAGTCAGTAAAGAATATACATGAAGAACAAGACATATTGTACTTACCTGTGTCCTCTTGTTATATTTTTTTTTTTGCTGTCAATGTAAATTTAGCCACTTCTTTGTTCTAATTATATTTGTACAATAAATAATTCTGAGGGTTGCAGGTTCGAATCCCCGTCACAACACCAAGCATGCTCGCCCCTTTCAGCCGTGGGGACGTTATAATGTGACGGTCAATCCCACTATTCGTTGGTAAAAGAGTAACCCAAGAGTTGGTGGTGGGTGGTGATGACTAGCTGCCTTCGCTCTAGTCTTACACTGCTAAATTAGGGACGGCTAGCGCAAATAGCCCTCGTGTAGCTTTGCGCGAAATTCAAACCAAAAACCCCCCAAACACTAAATAATTTTTATTTAATTAAATAATGCACCTAAAAACATAACAAAAACATTCACAAAGCAGACAATGTCGTATAAATATTGTAATTAATCTGTCTTTCTAACTGTGCAATTAGAGCCTTTAAAAATTTAGCTAAGTTTGTCAATATAAATACTGTGAGAAAAATGTTCAAACTGAAACCAAAATATACAATATTCTGACAGAGAATAACGTAATATAATACATCATTTCATAGATTAAAAACGTCAAAGAACTATTGGCAATTTGTGAAAGAGATGATGTGATAGGTGGGAAGAGCAGTTGGTTCTAACTTTCTAGATTATGGATCCACAAATAAACAAAATTGAAGGCTATAAAAATTATACTTTGCCTTAGTAATATGTGTATCATAATAGGTAATGTACTTCTCAGTGGGGTGGTAAACACATTAGAAAAGAGGGAAGATTCAGATAATAAATGTCACAATTCTCATACTAGGGCAGATTGAGGATTTAAAAAAAATTCCTTATAAAATTAAAAATTTAAACATGTATAATATTAAAATCTGATTTACTAAATACATTTTGATGCCAAGTTTATTCATATACAATGATAATAAAGTAGTTTAATTAAATTTTGAATGTAATTCTTTAAAAAGTTGTGACGTGCACTGACCAACTTGTAGCAATAGGTTTAATTCATACAAACTACTGTTGGTTGTTACATACAAGTTACTGATAGTTAATATCCACAAATCACTACTGGTTAATATATACAAACTGCTAGTACTTAACTATTGCTTTTTTATTATCATATAACAATGTCTTTTCAACAAAATATTTGTACAACGTTGGTAAAAGAACATTTCATACTTTCCCTGACATTTTTTTTAATAATATAGTACAAACACTTCATTGGAAGTATGTTATAAAATGATATCAAAAAATATTTATGTTAACCAACAAGACCCCCAGTGGCACAGCGGTATGTCTGCGGACTTACAACGCTAAAAACCGGGTTTCAATACCCGTGGTGGGCAGAGCACAGATAGCCCATTGTGTAGCTTTGTGCATAACTACAAATTAACTATCAGTAGTTTTTATGTATTAACTAACAGTAGTTTGTATGTATTAACTTGCAGTAGTTTGTATAAATTAACTATATAGATGTTATTCTTGTGTGTTTTACAATATGTCCAGTTATGTGATGTAGAACAAAACTTTGTGAGAATTGAAAAGGCTATGTAGCAGTTATATAGCGGCAAATACTATCTACACACACACAAAAAAAGAAGTGAATATTTAAGTAAACCTTCTAAAATCTTGAGAGTAGTAAATGGAGGAAATATCAGGATGCACACATGCCTTTAGAACTTGCACCTTGTCATAAGAAGTATTTAACACTAACAACTAGACGTTCACAAGGAAGAGAAATGCTAATTTTATGTTCAATGATAGCCATTCAGAACCGAGAATTGGTATTAGACATAAGTCCTGACTAATGTGGATTGAAGGTATTGTTACGTCTCTGTATGTTTTTTTGTTAATTCTTACACGATACAAGTCCTTTCTTTATAAAACTTGTTTATTCTTC